AATGTACCCCCAAACATAGAAAGATACGTAGTAGAGAGTCCAGAACACTACCCACAATAACAAAAAACACCATGGATAAGCACCGATGTGGAAAATAAACAAAAAACGCAATATATTCAAAACAAGATCAACCTCAAAGTGTATCAAAGGGGAGATAAAATTATAACATCTTAAACATTGGAGTCACATTCATCATTTAATCCACTATAATCATCTGTCCAAAGTCTTTGTCTGATAACCAGGTGATTCCCCTGTCTCACTTATGTTCAGAGGGGAATCACCAGAGACTTATTTCCTGTGCAGATTCTGCTCATGTATTTTGATCTCCTACTGTCTTCCATAGCCTTCTACAAACCACAATTTCACAATTCAAGCTGATCCCATTCCATTCTTCACATTTGTATTATATCTTTTTCACTCTTTGTATAACAGATGTTGACATGTTTCTTCCACGTGAGCTGAATTGACATCTCACTTAGATGGCTACACATTTGAAAATAAGTTTCTAAGACCAAGTCTCTATTCTTCTGAGAGCCAGGAACCATCTAGAGTATTCACCACACTTTGCTATACTATCCATATCTTCCATGTTTCCTCCATGAGGGCAGGTATTGATCAGAGCCATTCCATTGGTAGTATTACTTTGTGTACTCTATGTATGATACATGAAAGAGGTTCTCAAATGAGGGAGGCTCTGGAGAACAAAGAAGAGAGATGAGGAAGGGGAGATGCAGCAAAAAGCTACCCTTGGGTACTGATTATGTATGTACCAAGCTGTCCATGCAGCAGTATCTCCCAGAAGCCAATGAGATAAGAGGTTTGGCTGGTTGGGTTGCCTTTAGGTCCTGGAAGAACCAACTGTACTAGGAGGATCGATAGTAATAGAAGCAGTTTAGGCTGCGGGTCATTAATAAAAGAGAGTCTATTCACCAACAATCAGAAACTTGGGTCTACTTAAATTTATATTGATATTCTAGATGCCAGGACGTTCAGGATATCCCTCTTAGGGTTCCTTTGTTGGTAGCTGCCAAAGAGGGCTTGAGCTTGTTATCTGGCAGACATCATGCAACAATACCCACTGGTTTTCTTTACAGTATTAACTTCATAAAATCTATGCATAGCCTATTTCATGGTGTACTAAATAATGTTAGATTAACATAAGAAATAACTTTCTACTTCAGTAGTTTGGGAAATGAATCCCAGCCATTTAGAATGTTATAATGTATCTTATTCATTTCCCCAACTCTTTTCCATCCACAGGCCAAAAGCAAAATTAAAACCATCATTATGTGAACCTTAAAATTTCAACCTCTTTCAAATCCTATATCTCTTCTGTATTCCCAGAATGTATGATTATATTTATTTTCCAATGTATAGTACTTTCACTGCATACGCTCCTCATAAAAGTGCATGAATTGCATGTGGAAACAAGCTTTGCATTTTGCTTCATTTCATCATAATGGTTTTGTAAGACCATGTTATTAATTCACTAATGTAATTTCAATATGTAAGATATAGATGTATAAGTCATATACTGAGAAGAGATAACCGAAAGGCATAGCAATAAGAATGATCTTTAATACTAGGTATTAAAATTGTAGCTTTTATTCAGTTCCATATAGTATATGAATGTTGAATAAAGTTTTCCAGAGTCATCAAGTACAGAAGTGTCAACTGGACAACACAACACAAGAAGACAAATATGCATGTAGAAATGAGCCTATCACAGAAAAGCCACTCAACACAAGTATGTAAATATGACTGTAACCCTGAGACCAAATCATTTCTTCTCTACTGCCACGTACCACCCCTTGTCCTGTTCAGCTGTTCCTATACAGTCATATTTTAGTCCTGGTCATATTGTGATCCAAATTCAGAGATTCAATTTATTAGTGAGCATATTATATTTAAAGTCAATGTATTTCAAAAATCCTACTTTATAAAAAACAATCTATGACTCTAATCATATTCCCTAAGGTTAATTATATCATTGAATATGGGAAGGCAGTTGAGACAATAAGGTGAGATCTGCTCTGTACCTGTAGGTTTTATTCCACCTAGAGTAGATGGTCCCCATTGTGATACCCACCCAACAGTGTTTATGAAGGAAATTACCAATATTTATTCCTCTAGTCCCACTGCCATCTAGTTGGGTTTTACTCATAAATATCTAGTAGGGCTGGATAGAACTGCTTCTGTGAATTTCCAAAAGCGTAACTCTTTTCAGGAGTAGAAAGTTCAAGTTTCTCCCAGGGAGGCAGTGGGTGGTTTTGAACTGCTGACCTTGCAGTTAGCTGCCCAACTTGTAACCACTACACCACCAAGTGTAGTATGCATACAAGTGAAGGACTAGAAGTATATCTGACACTCTTATCAGAGCCAGGACTTTTCCATAGATTAGATATGAAACCCAGATGTCACATACGAAATGTTTTTAAAATGAATAGATAAGAATTCCTCAATATCTTTGTGTAAAAATATTTACCTCTGGAAAAACACCTACTAGTGTCTCTGAAACTCTTTTTTCTTTTTAAGAAGATGAAGGCAGTACATGTAAACCTAAATGGTCATGCTGTGGAGACAGCTGTTATTATTTTTCACATGAATTGAAGACCTTTGAAGAGAGTAGGCAATTATGCAAGAAAATGAGGTCCACACTTGTGAAAATAGAAGATCAAAAAGAAGTGGTGAGTAAGGTTTCTCATTTCCACTGGATGTTTTCTATGTCATTTGCAGTAGGATAATTCTTAATGTCTAGTAACATTTGGATGTTTAGCCGAGTTAAGAGTTGTAATCTAATTCAGAGACAAGGAATTCTTTTGTCAATGTTAGGAATATAATGTAAAATAAAAACTACCATTAGTGTTTTAACATTATATAGTAGATGTAAACTCAAACATCATTAAAATCTTTGTTTTAATAAAATTATTCTTTGAAAAAAATTATATCATCCAGTCAGAGAATTTTATAGAATTCTAGATCATTTATCTGAGAAAAAGCCTTACACCATTCATAAAATAGTTATCATTAGTAGTTCTCTCTGTATACTATTATATTTCTACCTCCACCACCTTACCAATATTTTATTTTCTGTTGGGTATCCCACCTGTGAAATGCAGGAGGAGTGAATGCATAACGATCATTATGGATACATGGAGATGTAGGGAATACAGGAGGGGGGGGAGGACTAAGAATGGGAGGGAAAGGGGATTTCAGGAGTAACTAATGAAGGCAGAAGTGGGGTGGTAGCACTAGAAGGAATTGTGCTCATAGATCATCTTAAAGGTGATTTAACCATGGGTGAGGGGGGAAGCTCTAAAATTGATGTGGGGGTGATTGTAAATTCTCTGTGATGTGATTGAACAACAGAACTACTAAATTATGTGCTATGTAAATTACTTGCAGTAAAATGATTGGAATAAAAATAAAGTTACAACCTAACTTTTTCATTAAAAGCATCATTCTAGTGGATGTAAAATTGTAGATAAATGAAGTTTAACATATTTGAATATTTAACATATATTACATTCTAATAAATTCTATATTAATATTTCATAGTTAATTTAATTATGTATTTCTTTGGAATTAATACAGAGATGATTCTCCATTGTTACTTATATAGAATTAATATAGTCTAACATTCTAGGATAGATATATTTTATGAACTATCCTTTCAAAGTAAGTTTTCAGAAAGAAAAACAAAATTTTTCTGCACTACCCTTATTTTTTTTATGCATGACTTTCCACCATTCAGAAAGAGTTTGAAAATTATGAACTGGAAAAATATATTGCAAAAATAAGCACAATTTGTCATCAATAAAAGACATTTGTTTTGTTCAATAATATCCTACCTATTCCATAAGAAGATCATGATTGTTGTTGATGAGGTAAACAAAGAAATATGTTCAATTTTTGTACACAGAAAAATAAAGGGCTTATATGGAAATGTAAGATAATATATTTAAAAGTTTCCATGAAAAGAAGTAAGTATGAAAACTCACAGTTCACCCTATATTCATAGTCAAACTTAATGGGAAACTTCCTTCTAATTTTCTTGGTTAAATATTAAAGACTTTGTATGGATGGTAATAGTCAGGAATACCTTGTATGCATTTGTAACAAAGCCACCCAGGGTGGTACATTGGAAAATAAATGAAGCACACTTACTTATCTAGCATTTGATTTTCATGGAGTTTCAGTACCTGAAATTATTTGTTTATGTTCATCATTCTTTGGATAAAATTATAGATGTTTACAACAGTGTATATGTTTTCTTATTAATTAATCCTTCTGCTGATTTAACCACTTATAATATATTCACCGATAGGTGATTTTAACCTGAGTGCACAGAAAAATAGAGAAAGTCTAAAAGTAAATTTCAAAATCAAGAATTCATAAATTTTTTTGAAAGTACATCCACTGAAAAACATAGCCATGTATAAACAGAAATAGGATACTGTATTTTATATTTGCAGTCACATATGTAGTTTCTGCTTTTATTTTCTTTCTTGGAAAATGGCTAAATTTTTATCATATTTTCCAAAGGGATAGAAATGTGAAATAATATAAAAATCACAATTGGAAATAAGAATGAGGAAAAATAAAACTTACACCCATAAATCTTTACTTTAGTTCTATTTTCACTCATTTTTTCCTTACTTCAGGAAGATATATAGATGGGGTAACAAAAACTATGGTAGGTTTTCTTCACAATAAATATCAAGAATTTGAATGAGATAATATATGAAGAATTGCATGAATTTTCTAAAAGAATGGACTAAGTGAATATCGTTAATTTTATAGTGTTAAGGAATTATTCAGACAATTATGTAAATGCCAGATTTGATAGGTTTTCCATTTTTCAGGGAGAATGCTAAGTATTTGGAGAACAAAATCATAAAGAAATTAAGAGGTATCAGTTGTGATTTAAATAAAAATAGATTAACTAGGAAATTCATACACATAATTTGTTGCTCTATATTTAACCCGACATTTATATTTGAGATTCCATTATTTCATAACTTGAATCAATAAAAACCTTGTGTTTTACAATAATAATATTAATGAGGTTATTTGCCTATGTCAGGAGCAGAAAAATATTTTTACTCATAGGATATTTTTGTTTCCTAACAGAAATTTCTTCAAAGCCAGATATCTTATTTCTTTTGGATTGGATTGTCTCGTAAAGGATCCAGCAGCCCATGGATTTGGGAAGATAACTCAAAACCCTCTCCCAATATGTAAGCCTCCAGAGCAGATACTATTAAGTTCTGAAACTTAACACTTAACTACTAACAGAAAGATTGTAGGTTTTAACTGACCCAGAAGTGACCCACCAGAAAGGACTGTGATCTACTTCCAAAATATTATAGCCTTGAAAATTCTTTGGAGCACAATTCTATACGGTGCACAAGACATTGCTATTGCGATTATGTGCCTGATACTGAGTCAGTTTCAACTAAGGTGAACTAGGTACTAAAAATTATACTTCCCTTTCCACGACATCTTCATGATCATTGCTATCCTTCAACCACTGTTGCAACCACTGTATCAATCCATCTCATGAATGCTGCTGCTCTTTTCACTGATGCGCTACGTTGCTAAGCATGCTGTCCTTCTCTAGAGGCTGATCCATTTCCCAATGATGTGAGACAAACATCTCGATGTCTTTGTGTGGGAGAATTCTAGCTGTGCTGTTGCTAAAGATGACCTCTTTGTTCTTCTACCCGCCGGCAGTATATTTGATATTCTTTGGTGACACAATAGTTCAATGGTATCAATTTTTCTTCAGGTTTCCTTTTCCAGGGTTTACATACATATGATGTGGCTAAAAAGTGAATGGAATTCACATGTATCAGCTAAATCAGAGCAAGGACTAGCTGTAACTGCTGAACAAAGCACTGATTTTTCATATGCAAGTTCAAATTTAAGCTGAAGAAATTCACAGAATCAAATTAAGACATCTCAGACCATGCCCATAAAGAAATAAAAAGATTATTAAAAATAAAAATTCAAAAGAGTTGCCAGAAAACCTCTGAAAGGTACCAGAACACTTAGTAGCTAGGGGAAATGAGACCAGTCCTTGGAAGGAGACATCATGTTTGGGAAAGCAGAGAGAATCCATGAGATGGATGACATCGTGGCTGCAGCAATGAACTCTAGCATAGAAACTGCTGTGAGGCTGGCCCAGGACCCAGCAGTGCTTCCTCCCTTTGTGCATAAGGGTGTTTGGTATCTGAACCACCTCAATCGCACTTGACAATAACAACAATAACAAAGACAGGTGGTATAAAAGAGCACAGAAAATGTCAGACACATTAATATCACATCACTCTCTCTTTGTTTTTTATCAAAAAATCATTGTACAATGGTGTGGGGTACCAGCCCCCCCAATTGAACGGGTCAAGGGGGTGGTTCTGTAATTGAGGGGTAAAATTAAAGAGACATCAGACAAGATGTAGCATGCAATTGCTCACCTCCAGGATGGCCATTATTTCAGCAGCCAGGTCCACACACAGAGAGAGAAGATATTTCTGATCAAGATTTGTATACACTCAGGGGGCATGCAAGCCCCCCTAATGACAAGTAACCACATGCGTATCAGGAAGGGATTGTACAATGGGCATATGTGAGACAGGAAGGGGATGATGTAGGGGCATACAAGCAATAAGAAAGGGAAGCATTAGTGGCATACATGTGACAAGATGGGCAGACCCTAGATTCAAGTAACCTTGGTCCTCCCTGAGTTGGCTTGACCTTAATCTTTGGGCTTTCCTTCAGGGAAACAATCCATGATCCTATCAGAAGGGAGTGGGCCAGACTATAGGGTTTGATGGCTCTGATAACCCTCGAGAGGGGGTGGTGATAACATTTAAGCAGTTGACCTCCAAGTGTATGGTCATTGACCATGTGTTAGCAAGCAGCACCTTAGGTTTGGCATATATTATGGGGGGACAACCCAGGGAAAAACCTTTCTGTTTCCCACACAATGGTTACAGCAACATAGCAACAGAAAACCACCAGAAATTAAATCTAGAGATAGCTGAAGAAGTGGAATGAGGGATATCATAGTAGAGGTCTTGTGAGTGTTGACAGAGTGTAGAAAATACCAAAAAGATGACACCTGCATTTTATTGACTAGACAAAAGAAAAAATTTTGATTGTAAGTACCCTTACAAATTATGGGTAATTTAATCAAAGTAATTTGATGGTAATTGGTTTAAGTATTTATTCTGTTTTAATTAGTTCTTTATCACAGATTCTGGTTTATAGTTTTCAAAAATGCATACATATATATGCATGCCTAGTTCTGTATATAGTCTTATAAGCACACACATATATACACATACAGCATTTTGAGCTCAAATATGGAGATGTCTATTCACAATAGAGGAATTCTCCCCTCCCTCAGCCCTGGTGGGCATATATGGACTATTTTTATTTTGTTGTTGTTTTTCCTGTTCAAATTCTTATTTTGAATTATGTGAAGATTTTCAGAGCAAGTCAGTTTTCCATTCAAAAATTGATACAGCTTTGTTCCAAGCCATTGATTCAAATCTCCAAAACGTGTTATCACTTAGCCCATTTTCTACAAGTGTTCATCATTTCAAATCCTCTTTCCTAAAAGGAGCGAACTTTCTATTTCAATGTTAGGTCTATATTCTCATAAGATTCTCCATTTAAAAAGTGTTGGCACACAAAAAAAGTGTTGGCACAAAATAATAATCTTGTTAAAGAAAGAGAAATATACGGTCGGCTTTAGAAAAATTATTTTATTAAGTCTGCATAAATAAGTACATTAAAATTTATTTATTTGTTATTTTAGTTTTTCTTCCAGTAATTGGAAATATTCAAAGGATGGAAACTGTGGACGCATAGCAACAACAAAGATGGCGCCTTCTGACTGTTCAAAAGGCAGCAAATACATTTGTAAGAAGTCAGCTGCTTGTTTTCCACGCTAGCAATGCGAACAATAGTAACAAACAAAGCAAACAAGCAAACAAACGTCAACTCTGGTTTTCATGAGAGCCCAGTTTCTTTGCAGTTCTAAAGCCCCTATTTCTCACCTCAGTGTTCTTCTTTCTTTTTTATTTTACATTTTGGGCTGTATCTGTTTTAACCTTGGACAGAGATAAGGCTGGATGAAATTTGAGATGCACCAGATTTATCCATTCAGACCCTCTTGTATAGAAACTGTTTAGTAATGGCAAGGATTCACTCAATGATGGACTAAGACAGTGTAGCTGCTTCAGGGAGGATTCGGAAGCAGAGTTCTGTGTCCTCTTTGTGAAACTTGAATTTCAATTCCTATTCTGTGCATTTTAACTGGAAATGAATGCCAATAGTAATCAAATGCATTATTCTCTATGAAATGCACAAGTATGGTGTTTGAAACCTTATCTTTTAGGAGAAAGATAGGATGAGTTCAAGGAAAAACAGTAACCTCAAACAAGTCAAATTTCAAGACCTGGCCCACACCTGGTAGCTATGTGCTCACATCCAAATCCAAAATGCCAAACTGTTTCCAACGTCAAAGTGCCATTTTACATTCTCAGCAGCAGTGAATGAGATTTCTATTTAGTTCATCCTTCACATATTTAAGGATACCTATTTGAAAAAAAAACATTTTCATAATAAGACGATAGTGGAAATAAACTGTGGCTTTAATTTTTTTCTTGAATATATAAATTATGTTGAAAATATTATCATAAATTTTGTTGTGCTTTTTGTTTATTTACTTGTTGGTTATCATCATCAAAATGGTGAAGATTTATTCAAATACTTTTCTCATCATTATGGGCTCGTTTCTGTGATAATTTTTTTATATATTCTGAATCCTTGTACTTGATTATATGGCCATTGTACATGTATTATTACCATTATTTACTCTCAGCTATCATTAGGTAGCAGGGATTTTTATTTAGACTAAATACAATTAAGCAATTTTTCTTTCGTGATGTGTTTTGGTTTGCTTATGAGATTTTTTTTCTAACCTAATAAGGGAATTTTTCCTCTTGCATATTTCTGTAGAAGTTTTGACATTACATTCTATGCTCATCTCTTGTTCATTTCCACATATGGTGTGTGATATGTAGAAATATAGTTCTCTATGTACAAATAGGTGGGTGTTATTTGCTTAAACATCTCTGTCTGCACCCATACACTTCTGAGGGTAGTATTTCCATGTCTCTTGTCCTGGTGGCACAGTGGGTTAAGCACTGAGCTGTTACCCTACAGGCCAGAGGTTTGAAATTACAAGCAGAAGAAGGTCTACTTCCATAAGGACACGCAGCCTCAGAAACCTGTTGAGCTCTTCTCTTCAATAGGCAGTCATGATTGACAGCGACTGAATGTTTCATCAGAGCATCCTGCGCTCTGAGATTTGTACCACATAAAAACGACAGTTGTAGTATCCTCTAGGTATCCCATTGTATTCCTATGATATAATTGTTTGGGGGGTGTTGGGAGAATGAAATCAAGAAGAAAGGGCAAACCCAAGGCTACAGGGTCAGGGAGGTAAGGTTTCTCGGTGAAATTCTCATAGACGAGCCCTTACTCCTTTTAAAACTGAGCAGGTGTGTTGTTTTGATGAAAAATCTATATATTCTCAGCTCAAAATTCTTGACATTTTTGAACCACTACAGTTTTCAAATTTCTAAAATCTATTATTTAATAAGTTCCCCTGATAATTTCTTGCCCTGATAAAATCTATCAGGATTATCCTCTTAAAATCCTAAAAATAGTTGCCCTAACCTTTTGAGCTGACCTTTCACTCAATCAAACTAGCCTAGTGAATCCCTTCAGGCCACAGTTTTGTCTTTTTTTAGACAACCTAATGAGACTAAGACAAATGGATTGCTGACAGAAATAATAGAGTATGAGCTGAAATATTTCCAGAAACGAATGGAGTGTTGAAATCACAAACTATCCTGTGCCAAGTAATTCGGGTGTAAGTTACCTCCCTAACAAACTGGAAGGGAGTTCTATTGGTGCCCATTACAAATCAAGTTGACCCAATAGAATTCCTAAACTATCAAAAGTATCATTAATGCCTAAACTATCAAAAATATCATTATAGCAATGGCATACAACCTTGCCATAAACCTTTCCTGCTTTAATTAATATCGCATGCAAGTACAATTTTGTGCAAGATCATTCAAAAACTGTTGCAGCAGTACACCAAGAAGCAGTAGGCAGGAATTCTAGCCAGATTCAGGAGACTCGACATGAGGAGGATTATTGATTATGTTAGATTAGTCTTGGCTTAGAGCAGAGAATACTAGAAAGATGTTGGCGTTTGAACTGTCTCTATACAAAGGTAATTGACTGTGCAGAATAGCAAATTTGAATTGTTGCTAGGTGCCATCTGTTCAGCTTTGACTCATTGTGACCTTGTGCATGATAATAACATCTCCCAATCCTTCACCATCCAAACAATTTTTCTTAGAGCCCATTGTTGAACCCTGTGTCAAGCCATCGTGCTGAGGATTTTCATCTTTTTTGCTGCCCCTCTATTTTAGCAAGCATGATGCCCTTCTCTAGGGACTGGTCTCTGTTAGCAACGTGCTAGGAGAGTATGTAAGACAAAGTCTCACTCTCCTTGCTTCTAAGGAGCATTCTAGCCCCATTTCTTATGAGAAAATTTGTTTGTTCTTTTAGTAGTTGGTGGTACTTTCAATATTCTTCGCCAACACCAAATGTCAATTACATCCATTCGTCATCAACTTACCTTATTTAAAGTGCACTTTTCTTATGCATATGAGGTGATTGAACATACCAGGACTTGGGTCAGGTACATCTAAGTCCTCAAAGTAACATCTTTGCCCTTCAACACTTTAGAGATCTCATGCAGCAGATTTACCCAACGCAATTCATTGCTTGTTATCTTGATTTCTGCTTCTGTATACATTGATTATGACTCCAAAGAAGATAAAAATCCTTGACAACTTCTGTCTATTCTTTTTGTGTCAGGGTATAACCTATTGGCCCAGTTTTGAGAGTTTAGATTTTCTTTAAATTAGGTTGTAATCCATATGGAACACTGCAATCCTTGAGCTTCACCAGCAGATGCTTCAAGTCTTCCCCACTGTCAGCAAGGGAGGTTGTCAACAGCTTATCTCAGGTTATTAATAAGCCTTCTTTGATCACAATGCCACTTTCATGGCATGTATGCATGGATTATTTGCTCAGCATACAAATTGAACAACTATAGCAATGGCATACAACCTTGACATAACCTTTCCTGGTTCCAAACCATGAACTCTTCCTGAGTCCTGTCCCTCTTAATCCATGTATAGTTTAGGCATGAGCACAATAAATTACTCTGAAGTCCCCGTTCTTCAAGGCTACCTTGATTGGTTATGACTCACACAATCAGATGTTTTTGTATTAATCAATAAAACATAAGTAAGTATTTTTCTATTATGCCTTAATTTGAGCCGAGATCAATCTGACCGTTTCAGCAATGATGCCCCTTGTTCCATGCCTTCTGCTGAATCTGGCTTGAATTTCTGGCAGCTCCTTGTCAATGAAATGCTGCTATGATGTTGTTGAATAATTTTCAGAAAAATTTTACCTACAGGTGATATTAATGATATTTTTTCTAATTTATTTTTATTACTTTTATACATTTTAACAACCATTTCATTTGCACAAAATATCTAAGACAAACATGTATTAGTTTTAATAAAATGCTCATTTTAAAGTGTTGATTTATTGTTGAGGTTTTTATTTTTTGTGTGTCTATATTTCTTTTCTTTTTTTTTCGCCCAAAAATATTTTATTGGCATAGAATTCACATATCATACAATAGTTGAGTCATATCAAAAAGAGTTGTACGGTTGTCACCACATTAATCAGTTTTAGAACATTTTCTTCTTTCTTGCATTCATTGTTATTAGCTCCTCACTTCCTCCCACCTTCCCCTGTAATATCCCTAAGGAACCATTAATCCAGTTACTGTCTCTATAGATTTACCTAACATCAATAACAAAGTAGAAAGATAAGAACTTCAATCGAAAAGACAACAAAATATTAAAAACTAGAACCAATTTAAATGAATCATAAGGGAAATAAAATGATTTTAACCTAACTGCATCTGCAACAATCAGCTTTCCAGTGCATTCTGCATGGTTTTTTTTTTGTAGTTTGTTTTTTTAAATCATTTTATCGGGGCTCGTACAACTCTTATCACAATCCATACATACATCCATTGAGTCAAGCAGATTTGTACATTCATTGCCCTCATCATTCTCAAAACATTTGCTCTCCACTTAAGCCCATGGTATCAGCTCCTCATTTTCCCCTCCCTCCCCGTTCCCTCCTCTGTGTGTCTATATTTCATGCTTATGCTTTCTGTTTTCAAATATTTATCTAGTTGTGACATCAGGATAATGCTGGTACCACAAAGTGAGTTGTATTATCCTCAATTCTTTTCTGGTTGTTGGGGGAAAATATTGTTTAATATGTCCTAAAATATTTTATAGAATTCACCAGTGCACCATGGAGGATTTATCTTGGAATATTTTTAACTAAAAATTCAGCATAATTTTAATACACAACCATTCAAATGATCACATTTTTGATAGTGAAATTTCTGCTTTGAGTTATTCCTTTGCAAGAAATGTATCTATTTCATCTGTTTTTTAGAATTATTGGGCTGATATTTCATATTATTTTCTCATAGCCCTTGTAATGTCAAAATGGTTTTTAATAATGTTGCTCTTTCATTCAGAATACAGGTAATGTGCCACTGGAGGGACAGGGAATGTTAGAATAAAGTAAAGGAAGCTGGAATCTAGCGGAACCTAGACCTCTGCCTCATAGGAATCAACGTGGGTGGATGTGAGTTGGATACTCTCCTCCTTTTCTAGCTGAAAGAGGTCAGACATGGCACCCAAGGCAATTCTTTACTAACATATAACAACATTCTACCATCAAACACCATTGTACCATTTGTAAA